CTCATATGCTTCGTATATAATTTATAAAAACAAAACAAACAAGTTAGTCTATAATTACAAATCATAAAAAAACAAAAGTTTTTTTGTTTCATCTTGGTTGGTTCATATTTTAACTTCTATTAAAGTTGTGTAGTGGTTCCTCCATTTTTTCAAAACCGCTTTTTGCTTGCCGTCCAAATCCGCCATCAATCTGACTACGTCCAACCACGTTCATTACAAGCCGTGACCACGCCCATTGGACGTCCAACCCCGCCCCTTTCCGCCGTCTACAGCTGGGGGTATTTGGTACTGTCAGCCTCACTATGAGCAAAAGAAAAGCTGGAAAAAAAACAGGAAAAAAGGAAAACTCTAAAACTGAGTTTTTCTTTAAAAATGTTCGTCAAATTTTCTTACAAATACAGAAACAACTCAGTTTCTTTTAACCATGAACCCAATTTAAATTCTCTTTTTCACATTTAAATCATTCAGTTGGGGTCTATATAAAGTGGAACTGCAGTGCTTTGGTCTAAATTCCTCCTTATTGTAACTCCACAAGCCCCTCTTTTGAGCTGTGTCTCTTTAAATCCAAACGAGGCGCATCGCACCCTACCCACCTCCAGCTTCCAAAGCGCTCTATTCTAGTTTGATCGAGAGATTTACGACTATATAGCTGCACAGAGACATTTTACATCTTACATGTTGGAGCCAGAATCGGACCCAGAGCAAGAGGAAAATGAAGACGATCAAATTGTAGTTAAGTTCAGACCTTATTCTGCAGTTCCATGGCAAATAATTTGACATAATAGTTCAGAAAACGTCATAAAAAATAGAGAAAACTGAAGGAGTTGAAAAATCTGACCCAAAAAGAATGTAAAGATAAGCTGTACCAGAAGAGACCAAACTCAACTTTTCTGCCTCCTAGAGACTCGTACACAACAAAAAGCATTTATCAGCTAAAAAAGTGGATTTTGTATATGTCCCCTTTAAAGGATAAGATTTTCTTTTAAAAACCTGTCAAATTAAACACTTTAGATTCCAGCTGTATTGAACAGTTTTTGTTTTGATATTGTTTGCCTCTCATTACTGATTTAATGAATCATTTTAATAAGTGAGCATCTACTTTCATTTTATATTAGTGTCTTAAATTACCTGAGGGACTTTTTCCGTTGCAGGGTTTGTTTTCTCCTCCCTTCAAACACTAAAAAAGGCAGAATGTTCCAGCTGCTGTTATGTATTCTCTGTATAATAATGCACAGAAGAGGGATGTGGCAAAGGAGAAAAGAATGGAAGAAAAAAAGAAACAATGTCTCTGTGTCCTTGTAGCTGGAAACTGCTGTGCACACAAACTGGCTCCACTATCTGAATAACAAAGCTTTCGTTTGGCTCTAAAAATCTCTTATCTAAAAGTCGAAACCTGCAGCGGGTGAATACAATGTGTTTCRTTGGAGCCCTGAGGCGCCTAAGCCCCGTGGCTTTCAGTGTAGCAACACAAGATGTCTGGCTTTCTGTTTAGTCCCAACAAATGTCTCACTTTTCAGCTTAACTTCCTTATTGTCAAAGTCATTTCACATTAAAATGTTCAGGGCCTCCAGGTTCAAACACACCTTTGTGTTCCAGCTCTCTTTCTTTCTACTTCACTTTTCATTCCTTTATTTCTTATTACCAATGAAGTGACTATTGATAATCATCACCTCATTTACACAGCCAGCTATCCAACAGCAGCTCCTTTTCAACAGGTCTCAATATTTTTGGGGGGTGGACAACAACAATCGTTTCTGAACAGGAATCTTATTCCACACAGAAACAACCTTTTCTTTTTCCCTTGTCTTTTTAATGTAGGAGTGTGCAGAAACGTGTCATTCAAGTAGATGACTTTGTCAGTCAGGAAGATTGAGTCATGGTTTTAGTTTGCTATTATACTACTACTACTACTACTACTACTACTATTACTACTACTACCACTACTCTTCAGGATTAAAGTTCATTACATCTGAGTGGAGACTCTTGTTCATCATCTGCAGTAATGAGGGACATGTGTGGTAAAGAAAGAGTTGAGCCGAAAGGCAAAGCTCCTCAATTTACAGCTAAGGATTGTGAGCAAAAATAATATCTTACCGGGAAACATTCAAAAGCTTTTCTTAAAAAAAGGAAGGATTTTATAATTTAAGGGARAAATGTGAATTTAAAATTTAAAAATAAAGAACCACGAGAAAAAGCTTTTGTATATCAGTACACGGGGTGAAGCWGTGGAATGGTTTAAGCATGGAAATCAAGCAATGTCTAAACATAAAACAGTTTAAAATGTGCCAAAAAATGGCGACTGTGAAATGGAAATTGATTTACTCAAATCTCGATGTTTGTTCAGGTGCATTAGATTCATGTTTTTATGTATCCTTTAATGTGTAGATATGACAAGTGATTGTAACACAAAGTGTTGTACAAGGGTAAATATGCACATTGTAATTTAACAATTTACAAAATCAGCCTGAGGTTTATTATTATATTTTATATGAAAATAGTACGGGGTAGGAG